GGTCCCCTATAAAAGCCATTAGGGAAAATATTGAATATCCCAGGGGCCTACCCAGCTTAGTTGTTTTTTGTGTTTTCCGACCTTGTCTCCCAGAGCGAATAACCCTTAGGACACTTTAGGGTTAGGGTTCAGGGTTTGGGACTCAAGGGTTTTCAGGATTTTAGGGTTTGGGGTTTAGGCTTCACAGGGATGATATAGGGGTATAGGCTTAGTAGCAACTTCATGTGCTAGGAAACCCTTCGCAGGTTCAGGTTCCTGGTTTGGGGTCTGTGGTTCATTAAGAACAAAAGGTTTAAGGTTTGGGGTTTAGGGTTTAACAAACCCCATGTAGCTGGACGCTTCATGTAGAACACACTCCGGCCCTCAGAACTTCAATCTGAGCAGTCGCAAAATATGATATAATCTCACTTCTTGCTTCATTTTCTAGATTCTTTTCCATGTGATTCTCCATTACTGGGCGAATGGTCCTAGATGCTAAAACGCTAAAAGCTGAATGAGATAGTAAGTTCAATGTTCACTTTCGTTCCGCTATTTTCCCTGAATCCCCAAAAACCCAAAGCACTTCAACCTGAGCCACTGGCCACTGCTTGTGGGGGAAGTGGTTGTCCTGGCCCTTGTTCCACGACTCACAGCCCACCTGAGCAGCTTCCTGCCCCCGAAACTCTGAATGACTCCGAAACATCCCTTCCCACAATTGTATGGGGTTGCCATGCCAAAGACCCTCCCCCCAGCCCCTGGCGGCTCTGGGTTTAGGGTACTGGGTTTAAGGTTTCAGGGTAAGTCAGGATAAGAAATGAGGCCTACCCTCTCCCAGCCGACTGAAAATTAACACACATCGTGGTTGCAACTGTAGCAAACCCCTAATCACTCGATGCTTACCCTGTAGCAGCCTGCTAAGATACCAGTTGTAGCAACACTCCGTTCGTGGGAAAGGTCCTATGATATGGCTCTTGACTTGTAGCATGTGAGTAGAGAACCTAATTATCCAAGGAACAGAAGAACTACAAAAAGAAAAAGTGGCAAAGGTGCTTACAAGGGAAACCAGGCTTGAGGCTCCGCAGATCCAAGCCAAAGGCGGAACAAGGCTTCTGCTGATTTCGGGCTTAGGTTTTTGGGCAGGCCTGTTTCCAACAGCATGAGTAACCAGAGTGTTCAGGGTTTCTTGTGAAAGGCAGAAACCTCAAAATGCAGACACCAGAAGGGAAGCACGCAATCTTGCCCTACACTGGGGACCCCCCCTGGATGCCTCTTCAAAAAAACTACTTGCCCATGACACTTCAATCAAGCCATAGTACTCCAAGTCTGGCATGGTAGAGTATAGAGTGGATACTGACCATCCTGCGATGACTCTAAGTATCATATAGCTTAGGAATTATGCTATCATAGGGTTGTGGCTCAGAAGTAAAAAACCTGGCCTTTCCTGACTCTCATCATGTCCCCTAGAAGTGCTAAATGCTCCGTAGAAGCTTTGATGGCAGGGCATTTTATGAAGGCTTCAAATGTCCAAAATGGGGCAGGGTTCGGAGCAAGTGTGGTCCTTGCACATGTTCCCCTTTGTTGGATCTACACAACTGGAGGGTTCATGCCTTCCAACTTGGGCGTAGGAGAAAATGGATTACACCCACACAGACTGAGATTAGAAAAAAAGCACTGGCCCGAAGCTCAAGTTCCCACCCATCTGAAGCAGCCAGGATCCTCAAAACCTGCCAAGATGCTCCTAAGGGTGCTTGGAAATTATCTTTACTTTTTGCTGATTATAATCTTAAGGAAGAACAAAAATAATGATTCTTACTTGGGTTCCAAGTTCACTATAGAGTCTAGCGGAAACAATGCCCCAAAACAAGATTTCTCAAATCTGAGGTGCCGACCACCGGGCCATAGTGGTCCAAGTTCTCGCATTTGAAAGGACCTTCCCCACACCCTTTGCGTAGAGTCTAGAGAACCCTTCACCACACTCAACCTAGTAGGAGTACCCTCCACTCTCAACTCCTAAACCTAAACGTACGACCAAAAACATGACCTAGGCCTAGATCATTTGCTGTATTAGAAATCCTCCAAATTCAGAAGCAGCCGGCCCATTGCACCTTAACTAAGGAATTTACCTTGAAGATTTATAGGAACCTGACAACGTTCTGAGGAACATTCCTCAATTAAGAGATACTGGGCTGCCTGGGCTGTGGACCTCAATGCAGGGTTCTACCATCCGGGCAATCATCAGGCTACGTGGGGACACGCTACATGGGAACACTCCCAAGTGATATTAAAGTCAAACTACTCATCAGCAAGCCTGAGTGCAGGATGCTAAACCCTAAACCCTAAACCCTACATTTGTGCTGAAAAGGCTGCCGCAAATGATAGACCCTCGGTTTCCATTTCTGAGGAGTTGTCGCCAGCAGCTTGCACTTCAAGCTGTTTAAAGAAAACCTTGTGGGTAAGGCCTGCACCCACCAAAAGTGACCACTAGGGATCATGGTAATTATATTCAGTTGCTTACATATTAATAACATACCCCTCTTACTGGGCGGGAGCCCAACCCAAGAACAAAAAACTTGCTAGATGATCTGTTATTCCAGCGGTCAGTGGCCGATGAAACACAGAAAAAACAAATGAGATGAATGTGATGCCCAGTGATAGCCTTGCGGCCATGAACATCCAAGTACTGGCCCTCTGCCCTTGCTCTGATAAACAGCCTTCGGGAGCCCCTTTTGTAACTCAACTCAATAAAGCTCTCCTATCTGGTTTCCGAGCCAACTTGGCACATCTCTTCCATAGTTCTTCCTAGCGAACATGGGCATCCTGCTGGAGTTGGAGATCTCCATAAATAGCGGGACGTATACGTCCAACAATTTCGCTGGCCTCCCCGCCTTGTTCACTCCCAAGGGTGAACCTCAAATGTGTCCGAACACGCAACTAGCTGTGCCGAGAGGCCTGTGCACTTGCCCAGGTCATACTCGTTGACGACACCGAAGTTCCTTCGTACGGCTTCAGGCTTTGAACATCTACAAACGTCACCCCCGCATGTAGCGGGGCTCCAAAAAAAACACGCTAATGCTGTGAAGCCCTCGTATCCTCAAGGACCTCTGAGATTTAGAGTTTGAGGGCTAAGCGCCTCAGAATCCCATAGTTCTGGACAGAAAATGCTGGGGAATACAAGACGCCGGACCCTACATACCTATCTGAACCATTGTCTGAACTCCTACTATCTCCCTTCTTTAAGGAGTTCAGACTATAGCTCCCATAACTTCCTCTGAAACCTTCCAGGCCTGAGCAAGGTGTGTCGATACTTTCCTAACTGGTTTGCTGCTCATCTAGTACTGTTTTCATGGCCAGAACTGTTCTCAAAATTTAGGGTTTGGGGCCTAGACCTAAACCTCAATCCTGAGCCGGAAAGTTGAGCAAGCGCAAATAGGGGGACGAGTTTAAAGCCCACTCGAATACATAGTCACCCTTAAGTAGATAGAATACGGCTTTGGGTATATTAGAATAAAATCCCCACATACCCCATATTCTATCTACTTAAGGGGGGCTATAACGCAATATTACCGGGAGGCCCCATTGTTGGT